TGGGTGTGTCTTCATTTTTATACTATGGTAGTGGAAGTTGAGCAGAGATTGCCAAAGCCTACAGATGGAGTAACATAGAGAGCTTCCAGATAAAATTTGTTTTGAAAGTAGGTGATGTTAAGTATTGTTCTAGTTAGAAATAGACCGCTCTTGTAACAATATTGACAGTGTTTCATGTACATGCATTGAATATTTTCCCAAGTCTTGTCCATTTTGGGTTTTGTAATATTTGGAAGCATTCAGATGAATATATATCAGGCTGTGTAATGGCTTTACTATAGTTTGGGTTTTGCTAAAAACCAAATATATCATAATTTTTAAGTATGTGTGGTTTTCAATTATATGGGTTGTTAACAATAAACATTAATAGTTTATGCTTGCAGATATATATGTGTGTGTATACATACATACATACATATGGATGAAATGATACATTTTTAACATGCAAAGTTGAAATATCCTCAGTACTAACAGGAAACTATGAGTTACTGTAAAATAATACCAAATTTAATGCAGTATTTCCAAGGTACAGGCTTTGCTCCTCCCAAGCCATTCTACAGCAATTGTTTTATTGTCCTAAAAGTTTCAGCAGCATTGGGGAAGGGAATGCAGTGAGGTGAGGCTTGGCTCTTTCTTCTGCTGTCTAAGGGAAAAGTACTCATCACAGAATCATCTTGTCTGGCATGTCGACCCTTCCCAAATTTACTTGACTTTTAGTACATCGTCAAAAGGGGGAGTGTCTTAAGAGTCACAAAACCAAAAGCAATATATTTGCGGTTAAATGACAACCTCCATGACTCAGAGGAAAGGCAGTGCATCTGTCTAAAGGAATAAGCCATACTGGCTGCACTTAAAAGCGACCCAAATGCACATTCATAGCTAATTATAAACAAAACTAGTTAACACTTTAAATAAAAGGAAAAATAGCACAAAGATTTAGAGCCTAGACAAGTAGATGAAAGGGCCCTGAGTTGCCTTCCATCTGATATTACTCAGAGGCAACTCTGTCTCCAATTACCTGGGAATATGTGGCATTCCCTCATGAAAGCTGGAGTTCAGAAAGGGCGTCCGTTCAGTGCCTCTGCTTACTCACAGTCGTTTGGAACAAGGTCAGGAGAAATGTCTTGCATTGCCAGAGAGTCTGGAGCCAGACAGAGACCAGAGACAAGAATCACCAGGTCAGAAGACTAACTTAGTAGGGCAGCAAGCACCAGGAATAATTTGTGAGGTTAGAGGCTCAGGGGAAGACGCATCAGTGCTGCCTGAGAAGATGTCATCAGGAGTGCTGGTTTTAAGTATTCACATGCTCAGTGGCCCAGAACCATCCAAGCCAGTTGCCCCTTTGGTAGAATTGGCCTAAGAGGTTAGTCTTACACCCTAATGCTAAGATAAAAGAGCACAAATAAAAGTAAGTAAAAGATGAAAGCTGCCTCCTAAGAAGTTTAGTGGCAGTTTTTGTTTTGTTTGTTTGTCCCACATCATTATATATGTGTTAAAAAAGAAATGAACTATTTCCCTCTGAAGAATGGGGAGTGAAATCTTACATGAATTCTGAAATGTGAATATTTTTTATGTGAATATTTGCTCATACTTGAATCTTTTATAGATAGCTGATTGTACATATATAGGAAACCACCGCCCAAAAGAACTCAAGCTTTCAAAACTCTTTACAGAATCATGTGCACCGTTAGGAATTACCTACAATTCATTTGTTTTATTTTACTTCGTTTGTGTGTGGGGGGGGGGGTGAGGGTCAAGGAACAATTTAGCAGAATCTTTGCATGGCTCCTGGGAATCAAACTCAAGTTACCAGGCTTGTACGGTTAGCGTCTCCAGCCACTGAGTCATCTCGCCAATCTGCCACAAGCAACTTTTATATCCCGGGGGGAGGGGGGCACTTTAGGAAATAGTCATGTAACATGTTTGTGGTGCTTGTGGAAAGTTACCTTGATTTCTGTAACCTTTAGCAAAGTCGTAGTAAGTGTCTCTGCAGATGCACCTGTGCTGAGATTTTGATCAGTGTGCATAAATAGCTTGTACCCTCCCACACCCCTTGGTGAAGGCAGATTTTTTTTTTTTACTGGTTGCAATCACATTTGATTTCAATTGTCTGGATTCAGTACCCCAAGCAGCCACAGCTTGCTGTGTCACCAAGTTAGCATCAAAATCTATGTCATAGTGAAGCCTGCTTTTTGTACAAGTGACCCCAAAAGGAAACTCTGACAATAAATCATTTATTGCATTTTTTGTGCAGCGCATCATGCTACATGAAGTATGAACCCCAACTTTTAAGGCATTTTGTTATGTTGAACAAAGACCTGGCAGATAATGGGCAAGTGTCCTATCATTCAACTCCATCCCCAACCCTTGGATGTGAAACAACGTTTCACTGTGTAGGTCAGACCACCAGGAAGTTTGGTCCCCCAACCCTCATTCTAGCCTCCTATATTCTGGGATAACAGATCTATGCCACCATGCCTCTCACTCAGAATCTATTTTCTTTCTTCAGATTACAATACAAAAGGAAATCTGCCTTCTTCCTGACTTGTTGACTCTCCATTAAGAGTTGAAATTTGGCCTTTAATGAGCTCTCTTTGATCTCTAAATTGACTGTTTATCAAAGCTGATTAGAGTTTCAATACACAAATCCCTGTAGCTTGAAAATCAGGCAAAAATAATGGATAGTAGAGAAGTCCCAAGCATCGTCTGTTATTCTAATTTGACTTTATTATTGTAGCCTGGTTCTTAGGCTTGGTAAGGAGATCTGTTTTTATGTTTTAGTTCTTTGGTATGGGTCAATCTCCTGCCACATTGGATTAAAGTGGTTTGCGTTTTAATTTTTTTTAAGCCAACTTTGTCAGGCACTGAAACAAGAGCTGTGTTGGTACACATCAAAAGGAATTATTATTGTGAACTACCAAGACTCACTTTGTTCCCTTTTATCATGATTTAAGTGTGTACATTTTTAAAAAGCTGCAAGAATATGTTTTCCATATCTTAATATGATGTCAAAACATTTTAAACAGTGATTGGTTCATGTCAAGATTTTTTAGGTCTTCAGTTCCCAAACTTAAGGAAGACATTTGCTTTATATATACTGGTCATTGTAGACATTGTGCTAAATAATTTGCATATGTTGACAAGTGAATCTGATTGCCAAAAGTCACGTGGCTCACATTAATCTCATGGGAATTGAAGATAGCTCTTGGGAGTATCCGTTTCATGTGCTTTTAGTTTCATAAATCATTTACTTGGATCTTCTAAAATAGTCCAGAAATTACTTCCATCAATTCTTTTAATCTGTGTATTTTTCAAGAAAATGAGCAAACAAAAAAAATATCCTTTGTTGAAGTAATGTTCATTCAGACTGCTTTTGTTATTTCCCCTTGAAGGCACTGTATATGATTCTAGAATTGTTTCTGGAAGCTTACCCTGTTTTCTTTTAGGTACCTAAGGCTGTTTTTTATCACAGTATGTTTACAATAGAGTCTTTTAGAGTGGAGTGTCTAATGTGCACCCCAGTCTTCAGTGCTACTAATGATAGACCTGTAAACCCCTGTAAGCAATCTAAAGTAAAGAAAGGAAAGGAAAGGAGAAAAAACAAAAACAAAAAAAGAACCTGCTGCAGCTCAAATGATTCCTGTTAAAGGTTGACATCCACTGCAAAGAGTGTCAGCCTGACACTGTGTCAGGACAATACAGATGCTGTACAGACCTTCAGTCAGAACAGTCGTTAAAACTGTAAAACCTTAATGAATGTAAGCTGTGCTATTGTGTTTTAAGTAGTGAGAGAGACACTTTAACAATTCCCAAGGGATCATGAGTTTTATTTCGACAATGCTGCCTTTTTTTATGATTGTAGAGTTGATTAACTTACTCTACTCTGCTCTATTTTGCCTTCTGATTTCTCCAAATGGCCCCAAATGTTACACAGTGGGAAATGATTATAAATAAACTACTTCTTTGTTTACTATTTAGTGTTTTTTTAATCGTATGCAGGTCTCTTTTTATGGGAGAGATGTTATGAAGACTGTGTAGGTGTGATATATAGTCTCCTATAGCTGTGGGTGGGTAATAATCATGAAATTGTTAATTTGTGAAGTCATAACTTACCTTTTACAGGCTTTAGAATAGACCAAAAATAATGAGTGCCTGGCTTAATAGTGTCTATGAAATATTTATGCCAAATAATATATGTACAAAGGAAGAGAGGAAGGTTGTAGAATATTTCCATAACTTACTGGAATTCTTACTTCTCAAAGAAGGTGAAAGTTGCTGTTATATGTTTTAGTTAATGGAGTCACTATCTGATTTTTAAGTAATTTGAAATCTTCATTCCTGTTCTAAGTCTGATCCATGAGTTCATGTCAGGCATCTATATTTTTAGGGGACGACAAAATAGAACAATTGAAGCTAAGTTTGAAGCGCAGTGATAGAGCACTTTCCTCGCACATGAGAGGTCCCAGATTTGATCCCTACCTCTGATATACATCTATATCAGATAAATGGGTGCATAATTACATCCCCCTTTTAGAGAAGATGATTTTAGTCACTTGAGATCTATCCCAAAACACATGACTACAAAGTGTTTAAAATGTGTATCACCTTCATTTGTTTATATTTCCAAATTGATGGTTGTACCTGTGCTTGAGAGAATTATTTTCAACAAATGTATTGATGTTTAAGGCCTGGCGTATTCAATACAACCATGAGAGTAGTATGTCCATTCCTTAGGCCACTGTGTCAGGGGCAAATCAATTATCCAAAACTTAAAAATGTTGGTTGGTTATGTAAAAATCTTGTATGTCCACATATTAGTGTCATTTCAATCTAATTTAATAATATGTCTAGCATATCAGTGACATTAATAGGGTTAAGATAATATCTGGCTGGAGAACATTAGAGTTCATGGTTAAATCTGGTCCATGTTGTTTTGATTGTATGCTCTCTGAGATGGAAGAGCCCTGTACTTATCTCACCTCTTCTTCTTGCACGTTTAGCCAAAATTGATCAAGAGTCACAAGAGGCCGCCCTGACAGAGACTCATAAATGGTAAGGTATCACTTCCCTTTAATATAATATGTCTTCTCAGAATAGCTTTATGAAAGTTTTGCGTTTGTTTTCATCCTAGGGAACCAGTAATTGATTGTAGGATATTTTGGTGTTTTGTTTTGTTTTGTTATTTTTAAGCAAACAGTTGGAATGTAATGTAAGTATGTACTTTGGGTCCACAGTGAATTTCTGAAAGCTGCTATGACACATAATTCTGTAATTTCTAAGTTGGAAGGAACAGCTTCACCCCTTTCTGATGGGATTCAGATGTAAGGAAATGCAAGTTTACACAAGATATGGAGAAACTGAATTTTATTTTGGTTGTCCTTATTTTTTGTTGGCATAAAAATAATGGGTGTTATTATGACATCTTTATAAATGCTTATCATTGTACTTTGTTTATATTTGTTCCTCACTATCTTCTTTACTCTCTTAATTTACTTTGATCTACTTAGCAATTTTATTTTCAAGGCTTAAATATGCCATTCCATGATTTCCTGTCTTTTAGGAATTGTGTCAAGTAATAGGATGTTATTCTCATGTGTTTGTCTTTCTGGATTGACACTTTTCTCGCATAGCTTTTCTTTTATTTCTCTTGTACTTTGAGCATCTTGATTGTAATGTGCCATCAAGAAGTTCTGTATTCATGTCTATTTGGGATTCTAAAATCTTCTTGTGATTGGATTCCCATTTCTTTCCCTTAATTTGAGGAATTTTCTGCTCTAATGTCACTGAATAGATTCTCAAAGACTTTAGTGTTTACCTCAGTTCTTACCATTACCCCATCATAAATTTTGAGTCTTGATTGTGTGCTGGGGTTCTTGGGTTGTGGTCACGGTCACTGACTTTTTTCCCCATGGTGTTTCATGTCATATTTCCTCAACACCTTCTCTTCCTTCCTTGGTGTTCTGCCTTCTGATTGGTTAACTGTATTGTAATAATGATTTTTCACTGTTTTTTAAATTTTATTTAATCATATAGTTTTTCATTTCCAGCATTTCTTGCTAATTATTATTGTTATTACTATTATTAATCTCAGTTTTCTTGATGATTTTCTTTTTGGTATTGTAAACTTTTCCATCCAGTTTGCCGGCTTTCTGTTTTTGACTTTTCTCTCAAGGTCTTGGATTGATACATTAGTTTTTTTCAGTTCATTTATTTGCAATTTCCTTGAGGTCCTAAGTCAGTTTTACACACACAATTGTTAAATTATCTTACCCACCTCAGCTTTTTAATTTAGTAGCTGAGGAATTACAATATTTTAGTCATACTTCCTTGAATTTTCATGTTTGTGTTACATTTTGTCCCTTTCTTGTTTGCATATCTCTTCCAGGGATTGTTTATTGAATGGCCTTCTGTCAGGGAGAAGTTTTCAGCAGAGGTAATGATAAAATATATTGCGTTTAGGTGAAGCCTCTGTTTACCACTTCCTGCTGCAAAAACATAGCACAGGCCTGGGAAGTTGGCTCACTTCTCTTCTGACTCTTGTTCTTAGACCCATAAGCATTTGTCTGGTCTCCTGTCTCTCTCTTTTTGGATTTCCAAAGGTCCCCCCCTCTTTCTGTCCTTTGAATATTGTTTTCTTTCCTTATCCTGATTTTTCTTCTTTGCTCTGAAGCTTGGAGACAGCTTCTAATCCATCATCTTACTCAACAGTCCTCAGGAGCTTGTTTCAAGAATAAAAGTTGGAAGAGTTAGCGATAGAAAACTTCCAATTCAGTATATAAAGTAACTGCACAGAGGAATTCCTGGACTTCCTTAGGTGAGCTGCAATTCTGGAATAAGGATTTGTAGTCAGGGACATTGTGGGAAAAATACCTCAGAATCTCCATCTCCATCTTTACCACTTCTTCCTCTCTGTTTTAGTCATTCTCTAGGGAAAAATCTTTTTTTCTGAAGAACACTGATGAGTAACAAAGAGAAAAATGAAAGAAACGTATATACAGTAAGACCCCATAAGGAAGAGATGGGGGTAGGTGGCCTTGAAACTGAGGGAAAGCTGAGGAGAAATTGACTTGGCAAACCAGTTCACGTGCTTATAGACGCTAGCAAGTCTACAGTTAACCAAGCAAAGCTGGAGGAGCTTATATTACAGTCTTGATTCTATATGCTGTCTGGAGACAGCATTCCTTCCTACTTGAGCTCCTCAGCAGAAGCATTTCAACTGACAGGATGGGACCCATCTGTGTTGTCAAGGGAATCCGTGTTCCTTAAAGTCTACTGACTGGAGTATTAATTGCATCTCAAAGCTGCCTTCACAACAACCAGACAGTTGTCTCAACCCCATCTAGACATCGTAACCCACCTAAGGACATACGACAACTACGAATCATACTCAAAAGAGACACTGATTCCTCTTGAGAAAAGAATCTTAGTGAATAAATTCCTTTATTAGGCAAGTTCTTAATAGTCTCCACACAGATACCACACATTCAGCAGCTCTTGAGTTGATAGCAAATACTGTGCTAGGCAAACTGATGAAAAAGTTGGCAAGTTCTAAGAAAGCAAAATCTGAAGTCAAGACATAAATTATAAAGAAACACTAATTCAGTGAGTTGAAAACACTAATGATAAAATGTTTGGTACAACAATCATTTTAATGTTTAGAAATAAAAATAAGTAATGGGTTATCTGAAACATTTGACATTTCCCCCAAAATGTATTTTTCTACCATTTGTCTTGCAATTCTATGTATCCCAGGCAAAACTCAGTAGTAGCTCTGTTAAGGAAGACAGTGTAACTCTTCTAAGGGCCTTTGCTTTTGAGCTTTTGTGCTAAGACCTTAAACTAGTATTAAAACCACAGCTAAATAGCATTTACTTTGCTCTCTGGTGGATGTTTTAGTACTTGTAAGTGATTCATAGATGTCATCTACTATGTTATTGTTGCGCAGTTATCATCATCAGAGATTAAATATGGCTGTCGGGCTGGGGCTATGGGGCAGTTAGCGAGGTGCTTGCTTCACAAACCTGAGTTCAGCCTGATGGCTCCCATGCAGAAAGCTGATGATGGTAGTGTGCATCTATAATCCCGGTGTTGGCAATGCATGGGCAGCAGGATTCCTAGGTCTTGTAGGCAAGCTTGTCCTGCTAAATGGGTGATTTATAGGTTCAGCAGGAGATCCTGCTTTGAAAAGGAGGGTGGAAAATTATAGAGAAAGATACCCCAATGCTAACCTCTGGCTTGCATAAAAACACACAGATACATGCACAAACACATATACACACGTGCATACTCACATACATATACACCCCTGGTGGTAGAAATAGTCCATGAAGAGAAAACCATAAGGGAAAGAGGCTGCACACCTGGGGTTCTGCTTGCAAATGTCACTTTGGGTGAAGTGAGCCACTGTCTTCTCCTTGCTGCTCTGCCTAAGAGACCTGACTGTTTTAGGAATAGAACTGGAAGAATTCCAAATCTAAAGACTTTGTCAATAAAAAAATGACATTTTTGGCAGAGAAAAAAATGAAGAGCATTCTTGTATCCCATGGTGCAGTATAGCAGAGGGCTAAACTTGGCCAAACTTATCGGAAGTTTAACAGAAAGAATGGGAGACATACAAAAAGGATCCTTCTTGAATCATAGTTGATACTGGAAGTTTAGACATCTGCACATGCTCTCCTGTGAACCTCAGACCAGGATAGGACAGACAGAAGCCTTCCGTAGTCTGATTTAGGATCCCTTGCTGCATGGTGCAAGCCATATAACCTCTGACCAACCTCTGGCTGAACGGTTCTGACTCTGAGAACTCCCAGGATGCCAGAGTTAAAAATAAAATCTCACAATATTTACACTCCATGACCCATGTTTGCCAGTACTAAGTGAGTTCCTGCTTCTGAAGAATTGCATACGAGCCAGGAGAAATGTTTTTGCTTGGTGTGCTGAGAATACCACTCTGTCAGGTTGACTGGCTCTTCTCAGGCTTATGGGGAAATGGTCAGTTTTCACCAAATTCTAAAGTTCCATGTCCCCTTTGTAACGGTGAAACCTCAGCTATGTTCTGTACCCTGATACCTGCTACCCCCACTAGTGGATCACATTAGAACTCAAAGCCTTGGTCTTTTATGACACTCCTCTTTGTTCTTGACTTGGCTTCCCTACAGTCAGCTAAAACTGAGACAAAGCATACATAATACTCATTACAACTGGGTTCTAGATGTGTTGGTTCACTCAACAAGACCATTGAAAAGGTGAGCCGAAGTCATGTTCATTTAGACCTACAGTGTCTCATCTTCTTTCTAATTTTTATCTTTATTCTTGTTATTTTCTATGTACCATGTTATCATAAGTCAAATGAAATCCATCCTGGGGATAAAATCTGGAACAAACAAACTTGGTCTTTTTGTGTAAGTTTGTGCTCCCAAACTTGGTCTTCATTTCCCCAGTCTTCCATTAGCCTTTTCTGACCTTGAGACAGAAAATACACTGGGACATTTCACTTCAGTGAATGTATTGGCAGCCTCTTAAGCAAAGGGATTTTCGCCATAATTCTTGGTTTACTTGTTTGTTTGTTTGTTTGTAATTTAAATCTGGGTCATATGGAGAATGATTAGGAAGACTTTTTTTTACATTCTGTGAGAGATCCATAGATGGCCTGGTGATACCACATCACACTGTATAGTCACCGATGCTCCTGGGAGAGAGGTAAGATTGTGTGACGGACAGAGCCTTTCTGGTTCATTGGAGCCAAGCTCTATTTCTTCAGAAATGTAGCAGGTGAACCACTCCGTAGTATCTGGGACTCTCCTTCCTCTGCCCTCTGAGGCCTCAGCAATGGAGTGTCTTGTTCTTTGCAATGCACAAAGCTTCTTCGGGTATGGTTGATGAGAGAATTTCCTAGAGAAACTTGGGAAATGTTTGCTAAGCTGAAAGTACACGTGCACATTCACATCCATGCACATGCCCACAGACACCCAAGCATACAAAACTTCATACACACACACCCATGCACACTCCACACACAGACATGCAGATGGGGCACAGATATAGAAAGAAAT